TGGGTCGGAGCAGCATTTTAAATAAGGCACGAGCTGATTGCACCGGATTTCACCGGGCTTTAAATTCGGTGTAAATAGCTTGTATGTGTTCTTTTGGGAATAGTAAGTAGGAATATACCGTTTGCTTTCATCCTGAGAAAACATTTTTTGAGAAAAAAAAGAATTAATTTCCAAATATTCAGTCTTGGTGCTAAAATATAAAAAAATTTCTTCGACGAGAATCGAGCCATTACTCATTTGACGTCTGTAGTTTCTACCACTGTACCACGTGTTCATGAACATCGCGAATTGATCATAGCTGAACTAGTGATCTCAATCCTTTATTCGGTGACAATACTTTGAAATATTTTTATGCTTTTTCTCCATAAATATTCACACAGCACGAAAGCGAACAGTAGATTCCTACTTATTTTTCCCTAACGAACACATTTAAACTATTTGTAGACGATTTAAAGGCCGGTGAATTTCGATGAAATGAGCCGGTGCCTTGTGTAAAATGTTCTCCATTTCCACCCGATTCCATCGGAATTTAAATTATCCATATAGAGCTGAACTATACTAGTGGGTCGGAGCAGCATTTTAAATAAGGCACGAGCTGATTGCACCGGATTTCACCGGGCTTTAAATTCGGTGTAAATAGCTTGTATGTGTTCTTTTGGGAATAGTAAGTAGGAATATACCGTTTGCTTTCATCCTGAGAAAACATTTTTTGAGAAAAAAAAGAATTAATTTCCAAATATTCAGTCTTGGTGCTAAAATATAAAAAAATTTCTTCGACGAGAATCGAGCCATTACTCATTTGACGTCTGTAGTTTCTACCACTGTACCACGTGTTCATGAACATCGCGAATTGATCATAGCTGAACTAGTGATCTCAATCCTTTATTCGGTGACAATACTTTGAAATATTTTTATGCTTTTTCTCCATAAATATTCACACAGCACGAAAGCGAACAGTAGATTCCTACTTATTTTTCCCTAACGAACACATTTAAACTATTTGTAGACGATTTAAAGGCCGGTGAATTTCGATGAAATGAGCCGGTGCCTTGTGTAAAATGTTCTCCATTTCCACCCGATTCCATCGGAATTTAAATTATCCATATAGAGCTGAACTATACTAGTGGGTCGGAGCAGCATTTTAAATAAGGCACGAGCTGATTGCACCGGATTTCACCGGGCTTTAAATTCGGTGTAAATAGCTTGTATGTGTTCTTTTGGGAATAGTAAGTAGGAATATACCGTTTGCTTTCATCCTGAGAAAATATTTTTGGAGAAAAAAAAAATATTAATTTCCAAATATTTCTTGGTGCTAAAATAAAAAAAATTTCTTCCGCGAGAATCGAACCATTACTCATTTGACGTCTGTAGTTTCTACCACTTTACCACTTCAATACAGGTCGTAGGGCCGTGACTTTGGGGCAATAGGCCATTTTTTTCTTCAGTGGTGGGGCAGCGAAAGGGGCCCAGTGGGGGCAAATGCCCCACAAGTCCATGGTATTAAAAAATGCCTTGTCATTTAGTGCATTGTACACGCATTTTGGGCTGCTATGGCATAACCTGTTGTTATGTCTACCTTCACCACTGGTATTTTCTCACAAAACACTATTAAACAACCACACGTGAAGGGGATACCAAAAATAGGAATTTTAATCAAACAACGTTACAATGTTTGTGGCTTGTGCAACAAAATAACAAACAACTATAGATCACAAAAGAAATGTCAACTTAAATGTTTATAATTATGTTTACTTTATGTTTTCCTTTACTATAATACGTCTGCATTGTCCTGGTCAATTTATTTTTTTCCTTTACGTCTGCAACGATTGAGTTGTTTCTTGATCTTTTTAATTTGAGGTTTCATGGATTTGCCTGTGTATTTCAAAATGGTTGTCCCAGAATTCAGCACGACCGTTGTTTTAGGTCCGTCCACTTTGAAGTAGCTGTTTTGGCCAATAACAATTGCTCGCTGTTTGTTGTATATTTCTTCGCAAGGACAAAACTCTGGGATTTGGTACTCCAATTCTTTTTTCAAAATACGTTTTTTCTCCTTTATGGCATCATCGGAGAATGTTTTCACGATTTTCAGCATTCCTTTCGATGACTTCATACGGGTCACTGAGAATGTTGAAAATAAAAAAGGTCCATAAGCACTGGTAATTATTTCTTAATGCGGATCATTCTCGTCCCCAGAGCCATTTTCACTCGGTCACTCGTTGAATATTAGGGAGGACGCGCGCGGCCGAGAGTCCCTGGGGACGAGGATGAATGTAGATGGATACTTTTCTTTGTAGATGAAATTTTCGTTCAATTTTCGAACGAAAATTTAACTCAATATTTATCTC